AGACAAGAAAAGTCTATAATTTCACCAAGAACATGTTAGTTACGGCTTACTGTATACCAAAAAAAAATTATCACTATACTGCATCATTTACAAATACACAATTGCATACGAAGTTCAACACCAAACAAAATAAGGGAAATCCAACAGTCAACAAGAACACTTGAGTTTCTCAAAGAGAAAACAACATCCACACTTGCTGTGCCCTCCCAAAAAATGATTTCAGTATTACTCAAAGAAAAGAAAAATTTTAAAAGAAAAAATTTAATGTTGGCAGATCTTGAAAAAGAATCTGTCGATTTTTCTTTTCGGCCGGTGAGATGATTTCAGACCCTCGACTAAACGGGAACCAAAAAATAGCTAAAGTAAAAATACTCTAAGCTCTGATACCACTGTAGGAACCCTAGAACTGTTTCAAAACATCAAAAATCGTAAGACTATGGATCAAGATTTGTAGATCTGAAAACAGTAAAGAGAAACACAAGCGATTTTTGGTCGAAGCCCCGAGGTTCAGCGATTTGTCAAAATTGCCTAATTCTCGTTGAGCATCCACGAAGGAATAAGCTCGAATCTACTAGAACAAAACACACCGGCCAAATTACAGCAGTTTTCGAATCACAGAAGGAACACACAGTTCCAGCCACCACGACAACAATCTCCTCAACAATACAAAGAACTCACACAAGAGTTCATAGCATCACGTCTACTCTCAACCAACAAGAAAGAATCAACAAGATTCAAAATGAGAGAGCCAAAAATACAAAGAGAGTTTTCAACTCAAACAAAAAGAAAATGAAAGCTGCGTAAAATGAGAGCCAACCCTAACCCTAGAATTGTTGATCTTTTATATGAAATAATCAAATCATTTGATCCGATGGTCCAGCGATTGCTAGGTGTCACGATCATGTGAGAGTCGTTTTTCTCAAGATAGAAAAACGTGTTTTTCCTTTAAGCAAATGAGCTTCCAGATAATTCTACCAATTGGGCCATTTAACCGGGTCATGGGCCATGGATATTAACTTGGGCTTCACAAATGGCAGCAACCCAATTTCTACAACTATTATTTATGAATTAGTTAAATTAGAGACTTAATCTATTTTCAGGTTTGTATAACATACTTTTGACTTGTGAGAAAAGTTTTTGGCTAATGTGCTTAACTAATGGATTATTAGAATGTTTAGGATTTAATTTTTCAAAAATGGATTTATGGTGGAGGATATCATGATAGTTTGGTGAATCAATTTATATTTAATTTTCTTTTTCTTTTTTGCTCAGTGGGGATTGCAAAATTTACTTCCAGGTTGTCGTTTTGTCATTTGTTTGTATGAACTATGAAGGGACTCGTTGTTTCCTTTAACTAACTGATTATTAGAATTATTGTGGCAATCAACTGGAGGAGATACCATCTTTGTACACACCCGTTGCACATATGGATTGTGGTATGTATTGTGAATCTTTTGAAGGAGGACTGAATATGACATTAGTTCATTGACAATTTCTGATTTTCTGGTGATATTTGTTTATTGCTTTTGTTAGGTTGACTACACTACAGTGTTTGTTTTCCGCCTCTTGATGTTTGTGGACAATGGACTAGCTGCTGGAATGGGATTGTAAGGCCTCCCTTTTCTTGAGATGTTGATGTTATATTTATATTATGTAGCTAAACTAATACTTCTGTCACTCACATTATTGAGTCTACTATGACCCATGCGATTCTTCGTTTACTGCTGACATTTTACGAGTAAGATGTATGGTTAACTAGATGTAGATAGTATAGGGTATGCATTCACAAAATTTTGTGGGACATTGTTGGGGAATCGTATGGGGGCTTCGCACTACTTTTAACTTCCCATAAATAGACTAAGTGCATGTTTAGTGCTTAATATAATGAGCAAGATGAACTTTTTTATTCCTTTTTAGTTTTCTAATACTATTCAATCCTCCCTAACAAACTATAACTGTTTAAAACCAAGTTTGTTATGTTAATTTACTGTCATATTAAAGTAACCATCCAACATACTTTATTACATGAGAAATTTTGGTGCTTCAATCTTCACTCAAAAGTTATATAGTGTTTCCTCAGCTCTCTTCTTTTCCTGATATGACAGCCAACTAATTTATTTCTCTATGCATGATCTTAGGGATTTTGGTTGGCAACAAAGATATGCCCGCTTCTGTGGAAGGACAGTTGTATTATCTATTCTAGCTCTACTACTTTACCCATTCCTTTGGGCTTGGACCATTGTTGGTACACTATGGTTCACTAGTGCAAGAAACTGTGTAAGTTTTTTTGCTTTCTTCTCGTGAGTGAGCTAGTACATCATGTACTGCAAGCTTGGAATAGATATAACAAGTAGTCTTTTTTTCAGTTGCCTGAAGGTCAGAAATGGGGTTTTCTTATTTGGTTACTTTTCAGCTATTGTGGACTCATATGCATTGCTTGCTTATCTACTGGAAAGGTTAGTTGTGGTTCTCTTTCACTTCTTCATGCTCCAAGAAGTACAGTTATCAGTTCTGCTTTCTGTTCATTTTTTCAAGAAAAGTTTACCAGTACAGAATCACCCTCTACCTTCCCCCATCCAAAAAGAGAAAAGAAAGAAACGAAACGAACAAACAAAAAAAGTCCTGACCTCACAACTTCCATTCTTCTCCTTTTTCCTTTAATGGGGTACTTGCGAATTGCAATCACCTGTTTGTTTGCATCTCTATCTTTAACCATAAGTCTTTTGATTTTAGCTTGTTTACCCTTCTTTTTGCAGTGGCTAACAAGAAGACAAGCACATCAATTGCGTGCACAGCAAGGAATCCCCATTTCTGAATATGGGGTGAGCTCAAGTACTCAATGTTCATCAACTCGTGGACAGTGTGTGCACATTAGGTTCACTTGAGTTTTTACAAATATTAATCTCTCAATTGATTGTGAAATCTTGTCATTGAGGATTTTCCAAATGTCCAGCAGATGCCCATCAAAATATTAATCTTGCAATTGATTGTGAATTATTGTCACTGAGGATTTTCCACATGTCTAGACAGCCAAAGAAGGTTTACTTATTAAGATGATTCCCAAATTATCCTTGCATAACACGGCAACCTCAAATGATGTTGCTAGATACTCTGTAAGGCTTTGATGCTCGAACTCTTCGAAATGGACGAAGTACCCTTGTCAACATGACATGGGTATGGGTATAAGTATGGGACATGTATCGGATCCTCCAAGTTTCAATCGGACACTTTGCCTTTTCTACTTTTTTCTTTCTCTTCATTCTTCCTTTTCTTTCTTTCCATTTTCTTTTCCCTTACTTCTTTTCCATTTCTACTCTCTATAAACCTAGTGTGCTGCTGAGAGGGTGGAGGAAGACGAAAGTGCTAGTGAAGATGATGGTGCTAGGTTTTTCCCTTTTTTTCTTCTTCTTTCTATTCTCTTTACTTTTTCTTCTTTTTCCTTCTTTCCCTCTCCGTATTGATGTTTTAGGGTTTTCTTTGTATATTATGAAAATGAGTTCCATATAGTACTACTTAGTGTTCCACTAAGTCCAAATTGTAATCAAGTCTCTCTTTCTATTTTATATAACATTTAGTAATTAACTTTTCATAATTGAAAGTTAAACCCTAAAATTCTATTTTATTTGTCTTAACCCATTATTCAGTGCTCATTTCCTTTTTTTGTGAACAATTGATTTTGGTCTATTTAAGATAACATATTGGGTTAGTAAAAAAAATTGAAGTTTTAAAGATATTCCTGTGTTCGAAATTTAAGTTCTTTTTAGTCATGATCCCGTATCCTATATTTTATAAAATAAAAGATCCGACACTTAGATACGTGTCCATACTCGATTCCCGTACCCGTTCCCGAGTTCGAACATCATACCTATAAGGTGATAAAATAAGAATGTCAGATAATCAAAGTAGACAGCGGGTATCACTTGATTGTTAGCGAATAACTTGCCTTTTGATGGTGGAAATTGTCAGTCCATGTTCTATTATTATCCAGACTAGGTAATTGACTATGATATTGACCCTCTATAAATCTTCCATGGCATCAGAGGATAGATAATGCATTGCATAAGAAAATTCATGTCGAACAGTCAATGTTAAGGGTTCAGTTTTAGTGATGTAGTAAAATCATTATTGACACAACTTGTCTTACTGGATATTAGTTTTATTCAAAAGCTTATATTTATTAGCACTGTGGCAAGAATGATGAACAGCTCAACTATATTAGCCATTTCCATTTCTTTAATAGCTGTGTAATGATTTATTATTTTCTGCGTGACTTACTGAAATAACACTTCTTATTTCAGGTTTTTGTTGACATGATTAGAGTGCCGGATTGGGCTTTTGAAGCTGCTGGCCAAGAAATGAGAGGGATGGGGCAAGATACAGCTGCCTACCAGCCAGGAATTTACTTGACAACAGCGCAGGTAAATGAAATTTTCTTTGAAGGACTATAGTTGGTGCTCAATTAATTTCTCGTGCAATCTTAATCTTGGTAATTCCCTGATTTTTAGGACTTGTTAAAATATACAAAGTTACCAACTTTCGGTGATTCAGGCATTTGAACTGATTTTGTAGAGAGAAGCGGTGGAGGCTCTAATTCAAGAACTTCCCAAGTTCACGCTGAAGACCGTTCCTGTTGATTGCAGCGAGTGTCCAATCTGTTTGGAAGAGTTTCGTGTGGGAAATGAGGTAAATATCTTCATTGATCTGTTTATAACAAGTCCAAGGTTGAGGTCCAAACTGGTTAACACACCTTTCCTCTAAGAAATTGAGATTATCTAGTCAAAAATCTCTGCACGCCAACTTAAATTAGTAATTGTCATTTGGCCATGCCAGGAATAAGAAGCTCATAAAATGCTGGACGAACGAGTGCATACCTCAGACATCTTGACGCCTAGTCTCGAGGCATAAGCCTTGACAAATAGCACTTGAGGTGTAGGATGCGAGGCACACCTCAAGGTGTAAGCCTCATACAATGTTTTAAAACAGTCGTAACTGTACCTCATACAAGTATTCCTGTTGGGCTTTGCAATATTTTGCTTCCCCAAGAATGAATGAAGATGGCTTTGTTGGGAGAGTTCATGTTGGGGTCCTTCCTCCAATAGACTAGACCACATACTACGGAATGGCCTAATTGTTCCACTCCTTAAATTCTGTTTCATTTCCCACCTCTTTGCTTTGTTAGCCTCCCTTTTAATCCCACAGGCAGAAGTGCAAAGACCAAAAGCATATACATGGACTCAAGTAGGAAGGAGAAAAGAAAAATGCTTGTCAAAAAGCTTTTAATTTTGAGGTATCATAGAATTAGACATTCTGTTAACACTATGTTTGTACGTCGAGTCTTCTTTCTATTGAACGATGTAGAACAACCCAGAGAGCTAAAAATGGAAGTAAATTAGTTTACTTAGACAATTAATGTATCAGGGTCCTCATTTCCCTCCAAGATAGGTAATTAAATGATTAATGGAATCTAAAAGATAAAGAAACTTTAAAGAATAATGTACACAAGTGGGTGGAGTGAGCTCCATCTTTATATTTCAGATCCAATGAAATATATTTTGGCTTTCTATTACTTATCTCCCTTGTGGGTGTGAGTGGGAAGAGGGAAGAAATCTATAAACCTTTTTTGACTTGAATTTAAGGCACTAGTACTTGGCAATAGACATCACTTGACTTGATGCAGGTTCGTGGTCTTCCATGTGCTCATAATTTCCACGTGGAGTGCATTGATGAGTGGCTTCGGCTGAATGTGAAATGCCCTAGATGCCGTAGTTCTGTCTTTCCAAACCTCGACTTAAGTGCCTTATCCAATATCCGTGCCGATTCAGAGCGGCCATCGTCCAATGTACTCACTACAACTCAATATGTAAGAACCCAACCGCCTAGCCAGAGCTATCTATTGAGATTACAGGGATTGCTTCGTCCAGTTCATGCGGAGAATACCGGGGCTGTCAGTGAAGCAAATAGTGTGGAAACAACTGAAAATGGAGCCCTGCCACTTGCAACTCCTGGTCTAGCAACTACAGAGCCTGTACAGTTGGTAGTAGAACCGTCAATCACCCCTCGACCTTGACCTACTTTTTGTGATCTCTTGAAAGGTTCTAATCTCTAACCACTGTTACACCTCCTCTTTTTTGTCTCTCTTTAATCCAATTACAAAGGATAGAATACGTTGCACATCCTTTTGGTTTCAGGAAAAAATTGCACCTTTGATACCTAACCTATTATTTGACTAGCAATTTGATCCCTAACCTTTAAAAATGAGCATGTTGTTCCTCGACCTTCATGCTAAATTGTACAAATTTTATTTATATTTTCATGCGGTGCTCTGGAAATTATGCCTCCTTCACATAGAATTCTTTCAGTAGAATTTGTACTCTCGCCTATATTTTGAAGACCGTACCGTTTTTTTTTTTTAATGCAACTATTTATTTATTTTTTTAATCTGTTCCTTTATCTTGTAATAATTTACGAGAATTCGAAGTTTTGGGGTATTGAAATTCCATGATTTTTCACTAATTTTTTTTAGTCAATGGATTCAAGCTACAAACATTTTTTAATTTTTTGTAGTCAGACATTTCGCTATCATATTCGCAAACGAGCACTAAGTTTTGTAATAGAAAAATGGTTTTCTTTAAAAACGTATTTTATCGGAAGTTTCCTTTTTAAGAGGCAAAAAAGCAAGGATACTTTCATCTAGCAAGGCTACTTGAGCAACACGTCCCTCCACTCGATTGGATCGGGTCGAAAAGAATGCAATTCTTTTGTTCTCTTTCTTGTCAATATTCCCCATATTGATACACCCAAATTTGTATCAATCTTGCTATATGTACACTTTTTTTGACATTAAGTTTGACATTGTGTTACTTGTCGTACAACGAATGACCAGTTTTAAAATGAAAAACACTTTCTCGCCCATACATTTTTGAAATTGGAAGAATTTGTAAATAATGTTAAACTCCATGTTGCTCCATGTGCAACATGGAGTGTACAAGGAGCATTATTCAACTTGTATATCATATATATTGACCTCAAAATGTTGTCAAATCTCTTGATCAACAGACATTCCTGTTTCTTTAAGTCTAACCACCTTGACTTGCGTGGTTGATCTATTCCCACTTTAATGGTCAAGTTAGAAAGTATTAAAATAAAATTAAGAAAATGAATAATCAGAGCAATTATTTTATCTTATGAAGGAGCGAATTATCATGTGATGTGTTGTGTGTATCACATCACCAATCTTGTCGTCATCCAAAATCATAAGTTGTTGGATCATTGCTTATGGAAGTAGAAGGCAAAAAACAAAGAAACAAATTTTAAATGATAAAATAAGCGAGTCTAAAATAGTTAATTCCATATCTTCCCATCTAAAAATCGACAAATTCAACAATTTTGAATATCAGAGATTTGAACCATCAATGTGCATGATAAGCCCACTGTACAATTCAGTTTCGTTTTTCTTTTCTTCTTTATATCAAGATTCCTTCAGATTCTTTTTTCTTCTCAATAAAGGAGCATATCATATTTCTCAGGAGGAATTTCTATGGAAAATCTGAGAAGAAGCGGTAATAGTCACATATCAATGTCGGATACCGAGTCACAAGGGAATCAAGTTGACTCCTTTCATTCCCCCCTCAGATCAGACTCTCTTCTCCACTCCGAGGGTCCAGATTTCTACCCAGAAAACGATATTAACTACAAAAGTAGATATAGTTGTAAAATAGCATTGGCTAATTGTAAAGCCCTTGTTCCTGTTGATAATTACTACTCCCCTTTACCATCTCTGGGACAATCCATTTTCCCTTCGAGTTCTCCGGCCAATGGGGGAAATGGCAGGCAGCCCGAGCCACAATTGGAAATGCCCACACCCGAAAATATTGATTTCTGGGCAAGTTCTCCGACCACTGGATGTAAGGTCGAGAGACCCTTTTCTCCCTCCATGACTGAGAATCATGAGTTTTCGGTGAAGGGCGAACAGGGGCCAACGTCAGTCGTGACATTCAACCGGTCTGGAAGGGAGGAGCCAGTGACCAAAATAGGGCCGGTGGGTGGCGGTGGAGAGGATGAGGGAGGAGAGAGGCCATCGCGGGCAGCAGTGGCATCAATATTGAGGAGATCGAAAAGGAAGGTGACGGTGAAGAAGGCAGCTTTGGGGTTCAGAGTATGTGAAGTGATAGTGTGTTTGATTTCATTTTCTGTTATGGCTGCTGATAGAACTCGAGGATGGAGTGGTGATTCCTTTGATCGATACAAAGAGTATAGGTTAGCATTCTTTCATTTGCTTCTGCATATTATTCTTTAAATTGCTTATATGAGTGATCCAGTTGCTGACCTCTAAGTGAATTGTGATTCATTTGTTGCTTGAAGTAGATTAGCCAAACATGTTATGATCATAATTATGTCTCATTGTTACACAGGTATTGTGTAGCCGTGAATGCCATTGGATTTGGATATTCGGGATTTCAAGCATATGATCTTACCTACCATTTGGTCTCAGGGAAACACGTCATCTCTCCCCATCTACGTTACCATTTTGATTTCTCAATGGATCAGGTAAGCAATTTTCTTCCGTATTCTTCAACTGATGCAAACTTCTCTCGTATTGTAGTTCTCATAAAAGAAAAAGGGTTTTGCTATAGTAACATAGTAGATGACCGAACACACCCATGGGGGTTGGCATTTTTTTATTCACGCGGAACCCACACACAAATTGTGAGGGTCAATCACCCCCTCTGTCAAGCAATTCGATCACTTCAGCTTTATCCAAAAAAAGAATAAACATGCATTTAGTCGTGTATTTTAGATTTTGGTAGTGTTTGGTGACCTCTTCAATCACCCCCTCTGTCAAGCAATTCGATCACTTCAGCTTTATCCAAAGAAAGAATAAACACACATTTAGTCGTGTATTTTAGATTTTGGTAGTGTTTGGTGACCTCTGAACATGTTGTGGTGTACTCTAAAATGTTGCCGCTGGAGATTGAGTTACATCATCTTTTTCATTTACAATTGATTACTTTTCTTAGAGCTATTTGTTCAACCTTCTGATCTAAAAGTTTAAATTCTTTGAGTGTTGAATTGATGAATATACTTATTTAACTATAGTTTTTAACACACCCATGCCAAATTAGTGCTTTTCATTGAAAGCCACGCACACTCACAATTTTCAAAAACTAGGTCGCAGTATGAGAAGGGCATGTGCATTTATTTATATTTTGTATTTCAAAGCGCCCTTGTATGTGAACTGAATTCATTTTTTGTCAACGACACGACTTCCACAAGCACAATTTTCATGGAGGAGTAGCGGCAACACCTAAAGTTCGACGAAGGTACATAGTAATGCTCCAAACTAGGATAGACAGTATAAAGAACTAGATTTTTAGTATCCTTTTTCTCTCTGGATACCATCCAGTCAGTCTGCTCTACCATACAAGCCAATATGGTTTTTACATTATAGTCTGGTTCCTCAGATACTCGTACATAGTTTTTACATTTAGTTTGGTTCCTTGGATACTTGCTCAAAGAAACATTACACTTCTTGTCTGGCAGATTCTGGCATATCTTATAATGTCGGCATCATCTTCAGCAGCAACAAGGGTGGACGGATGGACATCTACTTGGGGGGAAGATGAGTTCACGATAAGGGCAAGTGCATCTATTGCAATGTCTTTTCTTGCTTTCATTTCATTTGCCTTGAGCTCTATCATATCTGGCTACAACCTCTGCAACCGAGAAGCAGTTTAATCTCTACATCTTCAGTCAAACTATTAAAGATAAATGTAGTAGTGAGTGGAAGAAAACAGACTACAAATAAATAAAAATACGCTCGGTATTGAACAATGCAACAATAGACACCGCCATAAACTATTGTTCATCACCAATGGTGATCAATAAGATTACTCGAAGGAAAATTTCAATTTAAAAGGCCTCGAGGAGTAATTCCTTTGAAAAATAGAACCCATTAGACCATACATTATTACAATGAAATATTATATGTAGTGTAAAAAAAATGATTGATATGTCGTGAAACAAATTAAAACTCTTGAAAGGAAAGCTATGTAATTTTAATTCCTCCAAAATCGTTAACTAATCGAAAATAATTTTCGATAGGGACAAATGAATTCGACTCTTGACTATAATTTTCATATCCATGATTGTTCCAAAAGAGGACTGAGCTTACAAGTTGTTCAAGAGTAGTGCATCAACCATCAAAACCTCAGTTCAACGTGTTCATCTGATCACAGCATATGAAATGCCATCACGTTAGAAGAAATAAATGATGCAAAAATGCTTACACTATTACATCGCAACAGAAACAAAATGATATCTGCCAATGCCTAAAGGATTTAAAGCCAAACAGCATTATCAAAAGATGATGCCCTGAACCAGCAAATGACTTGGATCTAACAAAAAGTACAAAGCCAAGACCCCAATTTGTGTGAATGACATGGTTCATAAAATTCGATAAGGCGCCTTCAAAACTTATTTCACTTATCGACTGAAGTCTTTCTCTTCCGATCAGGCGAGGAGGAATCCTGTGCTTGAGCCTAACCAAAGACTGACCTGTATTTAAAAACAGTCAGAAGTAAACTTTAAATGATCTTGTGTAAAATATAAGCTTTTAGAGCATCTCTTATTCATGGGATTCCCTTGTCTTTCTTTAATTTTCTCTTTGCGCTTACTCTCTTTTATTAACATGATGCCGGTAAAAGCAGGAGAGACGAACAGGAATGTTCCCCGTCTGTTACAAAATTCTAACAATGCGTGTCTTCGACACAAAAATATCAAAAAAGCATCAAAATCCAAATAAGGCATATTGTAATCATAACGAAGATTCAAATTGAGAAATCCCAAATCAGTGACAAGTATTTGAGATTAAAATACATAAAACATAAAAACCACACCAAAGATGCTTGATGATTTGATCTAAATTCTAAAATCAGTTTGAGTGGAGTAATCAATGAAAATATATTCTATTTGAAGAAAAAAAGAGCATAAAACACATTTTTCATTTCTTTTCATTGCCATACTTCGTCTTCCAGTAAATTGGAGATACCACTCTATTTTTCTTTTTGGCTGCTAAGATAAGATTCATTTTTAATTTTTGTTATTTACTCTGTATAAAAATAAAAATAAAAATAGAGAAACAAAGAAATATTTCTCAACATGACCCTCTTGTGCCTCTGATGAGTCATCAGAATTGGAAAGATGCACTGCTTTGACCCTCGTGGAAAAGTAACTAATTTTCATGTAAAAAGTCTAAACCGTATTTCATACTAATTTTTCGTTATTTTGAGGCAACTCTCCAACATATAGATAGACATCAGTCAAGCCTTTTCTTGCATTTCTTGTGTATCTTGTTTTTGTGAGTTGTCTGAAACCAGTATATTTTGTGAGGTAGCAACAGTATTTTAAACCATAGCATAAAGACTATGATACTGAAACCATTATGTAATGCAACGCAACATGAAATGGAAGTAGTAAGAGAATTGGAGCTCACCCACAGGTTGAACATTGCTTGTGATGCTTGCAGAATATTGACAAACAAACAGAGCATATGTAGCCCATGTCAATTGTGTTTTTGTGGCAAAAGCACCTGCAGATTTTACAGTATCAAAAATCAACAATTTTAAAGCACCTAGAATCTTTTATCTTTTCTCCACTCAATAATCCAAGACTCCAATTCATGCTTGCAGTTTAAAGAAGTGTGTAGCTGTCCTTATGCAAGTTAACAAACACAATATTTAAGATGAGCACGGAAATCAGTTTTCCAAAAATTCAACCATGCACCACTCTGTATGCATTTTAGGATATATATATCAAATCAAAATAAATGCCAGAGATAATAATTATCACTCATCACTTAAGACTTGAGAGGTTTTTAACTACAATTATTGCTTCGAACCTACTTAAATAGCAAGACATTAATTGTACGCTATAGGCCACTAAGAAGCTTATTTGATAAAATTGGAGAGGATCATGTTCTGATTGGTATACACAAAAGAAAATTGATGTGAAAGTAAATAAAAAGATGGAAGCGCAGGTGTAGTAGCTAACATTATTCAGTTTTAGTAAACAGTGATATATATAGAGAAGAAAATTGCATATTGATAAGAATATTTTTGGGGAAGACAATAATAATAATGCACAGGTTTCTGAAGCAACTTACGCTGCGCGAAAGTCCACCCCCACAGGCTTAGGAAGTTGTAAGAAGCTGCGAGAATGCAAATCTGTTGCGAAAACTGTCTGCATGTGACAATGATCATAAATTAATACCCTATAGTGTTGCAGAGGAAGGGGAGAGACTGCAACATGCAAATTTTGAATGTAAGACAAATTTTGATAACACAAAAACAAGAATCTTCCTACATATATCGTTGGTGCCTAATGATAAGAAGACAACTAATTCAATAAAATAGGAAAGTTGTTATGAAAGCAGGATTATTACTAACTCCATGCAAAACTCTGGAATGCTGGTCAAATCAAAGTGGGGAATGATCATTATCATAAGAAAAGGACCAGAAGGTAAATTCCAACTTCTAAAAAAAAGAGCATCAAGTCCACAATATATACCGTCTGCAAAATTTTCATCGAAATAAAATAAAAATATTATTGGTACCAATGAAACCCAATCTAATTCGAAATAAAATAAAAATATTTTTGGTACCAATGAAACCTAATCTAATTCCAAACAAAATAAAGAAGTGACTGGTACAGCAAGCACATTGTCCATGAAAATCATGTTAAGACAAAGTTAGATTCTCCAAAGAAAACAACCCCGTATGGATGGAGGAAGGATTCCTTGAAAAGAAGAAAGAAGAGAAGAATATCACTTTGCTTCCACCCACCAACTTAGGGGTCCGTGGGGCTCGGACCAGCCCAACCTGGCGAGCCAGCTTGTGCTCGTAATTGGGGCAAGCTGAACACGAGCTAGCTCGCTTCAAAAAACCTCAACTTGGCTCGGCCCACCAGCTAGCACATTGGAGGGGTGAGCTGAGCCCAGTTCACAAGCCACTCGCACTCAACAAGATTTTTTATTTCTTCTTTTAAAAATTCAAAAAAAAAATTAGTTTCCCAGCTCCCTGACAAGCCAATGCGAGCTAGCCACAGACACAGAGAGTATCTTCATGTTTTTCTCACGCACGCACACACGTATTTAGAAATTCTAAGTTCTTGACAAAAAATTTAAACATGTGGACTAACAACATTCATAGGTCAAGCCTATAGTTTTAAATTAAATTATTTCAACTTTAGAAATATAAAACTGTTTTTCCAGATAATGAAATTCACTTTACATTATACCTTTGATTATGAATTCTAAAATTTCGATAACGCCCTTTTCCTTCCAAAAATAAAAGAAATAATTTGCCAAAAATATCTAACCGGACATTTATCTGGTAGCCATTTACCATTCATATCACCTTTGAATGCTAAAAAATTTAAGTTTGAGTGCAACAAGAAAGATCTTAAGATGAGGGAGGTATATATTACTTGATGTTGCCATCATAAGAAGTACTTACCGACAGATATTGAAAAAGCCCATCCAATTGTTGAGGCTTCAGATATACACCACCAGTTATATAAGAAGCTTGCCGTAAAAATATGCACCCCTTTGATAACACCAGACCAATGCAAAACTCATTATCAGGAATGAAAGAAATTAGTGATATGATTTGCAGAATGCTATCAAAATGCTACCTGCTGCAGGAAAGCAGAATGTTGAGCTCCCAGTATACATGAATCTACAGGTACCTGCAAGAACCATTTGCATTTAATACAAACAGTTTACAGAGAATCATTTATGAAAATATGCGACAAGACCAATGAATATTTTCCATAGCTTACAAGACAGCGTCATTGGAAGATATTGATAAATTAGTTATATTACAGACCTCTTGTAGGTTCTGCAGTTAAGCTGATGTTTTTAGTAGAACACTTCACTTCACAAAATATATCAATTTTAGAGCACCTAAAATATTGGTTCCACCATACTCTATCATACTTTATTAGCGCATACATTTTTAAGTCTACAACCATTGCCTTTCAGTTTGCTCAATGTGTATATTTTGTATGTTTAAGCTGTTTGCAGAAGAGCAAGAAATTGACGGTTGCACTCCAGTTTATTACAGAAAGGATAGTCCTGGAGGGTGATTCAACTACCATTACAGGTATTCTTGGGAGGGAGGAAAAAAGATGATTCAGAGCTGCATGCGGTTCTGAAAGAGTGAAAGAAGTCCAGAAACAAAGGAAAGCTAGAGGAGGAAACAATCAAGCTGATGAGGCTCAATGGAAAAAAGGAGTTAAAATAACATGTGAAGTTTGTTACTGAGTAAAGAGTGTAGAGATGATCCTTTTTATGTCTCCAACAACACCTCTCATCTTAAGGTGAGGGCATGTCGAAATTACAATAGATGCAAAACCAGATAGGGATCAAGTAAAAAGCTTTACCAGTTCAATTATCAGACTTATATTACATACTTGAATAATTTCACTGTTCCACTCAAATTAAATGTTCTTTACAGTGGTTTATAGGTCGTTTGATATATTTTATTAGTCATTGGTAGTGATGAATTTGAGCAGAGAGAAGGAAGAATACCATGTTAACACCAGGCTCTTTTATTGAGGTGAAACATTGTAAGTATAGGGTCCCAATTGTATTCTTCAATATTTCCTATATTATTTTCGATACATCTCATAAGCTGAGAAAAGCAATTGGTCTTTATGGAGTCCATGTCGAAATGGCAATCCACTCTCGCATTCATATTGATAAAGTAATTGTTGACACATAAAAATTCAACCCAAATCGAACGGCCCAAGGAATGAAGCCCAATTGGAGGATCCCCAAATCAGATAGTCCAAAAAACGAAACCCAATCAAATCAGATAGCCCAAAGAACGAAGCCCAGTCAAGCAATTCAAGATGAAGGCTCAAATAGGGAGGCCCAAGAATACGGTAACACCATCGCCCAAGTTTGCAAGTCGCCCAGAATCTGAGCGAATGGAGTGTCATGCAGTCGCCCAGAGCTGTTACTCTATTCTTGCCCAAACCTTCGAGTCGTCCAAAGTCTTAGCAAACATAAAGTGTTGTGATTATCAAGAAGTGCAGTTATCAAAGCGG